ATAGTAAAAGTAACGGGGACATCATTGATTTTTCCTTTGATATAAATTCCAGGGCATTTTTCAACATTTCTTTTGACATCATCAGTAACAAGGCTAATATCTTTTATTTTATTTTCAGATAGGTCTTCATTCAAAGTCTGCTCCTGGATCGTCTCTCGACCTGCAGTTACGATCCCCTGAAGTTTAAATTTCCGGGATATTGTGGTGCTGTACTTCTGAAGTTTTGCTGGGTGACAACTGGACAGTCACGAGCAAAATGACCCTGATTGTTACACTTATAACAAGCTGTATTGGAGGATGTTTTAAATCTGGGAGGAAAGGCTGAGGATTTATTCATCTCGGACAACATCTTTTCAAGATTCTGGATTTGTCTTTGCATTCTTAGTATATCATCTTTGAGATCCGCATTGGTAGTTCCTGATGTTTTAGATTTATGCATTGTTGTAAACGAAGCATCATTTTGTGAAACTGTCTTGGATTGCTTTTCTTTATTTTCAAATCTCTTATTACTTCCTGTTTTTGTATCATTTTCAGTCACTGCCCGAATTGGACGTTTATCGGCCTTTGAAGAGCTCCTTTTATGAAGATCGCTGAAATTGATCACTTGGAATACAGCATCATCAATGTTGTCTGGCTCTTTTATGTATTCGACCTGGAACTGGACTTTCTCATCATTGAGACCATCAAAGAATTTTCGAAGTAGATCCTCTCTGCGTATAGTCTCGTCTCTGTTAGGGTATGCCTTGGCATATAGTTTCTTTAAGTCTGCGGCATAGACTTCTACAGGTTCATTTGGTTTCTGTCTACGGTTGCTGAACTTAGCTTCCAGTGACTTCTTAGTTTCTATAACTTGGTATCGATTATCTAACTCTCTGATTAGTTTCTTGTAATTAGATCTTGTTCTTTTTGTAAGTTGTTCAAAGACAAATTCTCCTGCTCCACCTTGCATTCTAGGTAATAGCTCATCAAGTCTTTCATTGTTTGTCCAATTTCCCCTGTCTGCAATTTCTTCAAATCTGCCCTTCCATACAACCCATTTTTCTTTATCTTGACCAGTAAAGGGAGGTAACTTATGAGAAAATTTTCTGGGATGTCTCTTTTGAGTTACAATAGATGTAGGTATGCTCTCATCATCAGAATCTGATGTACTGCTACTGGTGGAGTCATCTGAGAAGGATGAATTTTCATCGATCAATCTTGCCCGTTTAAGCTGTCTCTCTGACTGAGTTTTTCTAGAAGCACGTCTATGTCTGGACAATGTTTTAGACTGAGCTGTATCTGTACGACTCCTTCCAGGACTCTGGCGCTGTACTGATACACCTGATTGGACTGTATTCAAAAATTTCTGCATGTCCTTTAAAATTGTGGCCAAATCATCTCTGTTGTCAGACAACTGATACATAGGGGGCTGGTATACTGGATTGTTCATTTGTTTACTTCTGACATCTTCGTGATTTTGTCTCGTAGCATTTGAATGATCTGATCTAGTAACTGGAGGACAGGAATATGGACGCCCATTCTTTGGAGGGACCGATTCATGCAAATCATCTATAGACGAATCATCTGTCAAATCATGGATTGGTAGCGGAAATTGATTAGGGTTATCTCCCCTATCGAGGATGAACATTTGTTCATTGCACCTTTCTGGTGTTGTATGTTTTTGTTCATTTGTAATAAATGATTGTGACACATTTTCTGTGTTTAAAGGATTCATATGTAATGAATTGTGCATCAAATTTGATGTTGAAGTTGTGCATGACATATGCATAGTGTCTTGTACAGTAGATTTACTGTTTATAACACTTTTATTTCCAAAAGGATTTTCAATTCCAGTTTTTAAACTGTTATCAGAATTTATTTTGTCTACACACTGCCTATCATTTTTCTGTCTCACACTCGCATCATCTGACATCTCACCAGCTTCTACAACAACCAGGCCCTTTCTTTTATTCTTTCCCATATTATCTATCTGAGCACTGCCTAATCAAAATAAAAATAAACTTGCACATCAACTTTCATTTTTACAAACAACTAGCAAAAATATAAAAAGGTTCGTATCTCTGGATACCTATAAAAATGAAAGGTATCCCGCCGTGGATGCCAAAAATGTAACGCTAGCGGTTCTGCTAGAAATTGTTTTCATAGAATTAATAATTCGCTCAACTCCTTTAATAAATGTACCATTCGCAAAGAAGACATAAGATTATAAACATTAAACAATTAAATTTATTAAGTGCATTATCAACAAACAATTTATTTAAACGACGACATTCACACCACATTCATACCAAACTAATTATAATAAATGTTTAGTTAAAATAAATAATTAGAATCGTACCATAAAACAGACTGAAAAACCACCCCAAAAATCTAACGTATCTATTCCTATGCGTATAAAAATATGTGACAACAAGTCGTAGTTATTTATAACTTTGACTTGTAAAACTTAACACCAAGCTTTACTGTATTTAACAGGTTAGCTTGTTAAACTCCTAAAATACTTTATTAAATAAGGACACAAGCCGTGGTTATTTATAACTTTGACTTGTTAAACCTAACAACAAGCATTACTGTATTTAACAGGTTAGCTTGTAAACACTAAGGGCAAAGAAAGATAACTCTAATAATCATAAGTAAGTTTATCGAGAAGCAACGTTTAAAAATTCCCAAGTACTCTAGTCTAATAAAATAATTTCTATTATAAAAATAATTAAAGAAAAATTTACGTATCTAGAATAATTAAATTGCTGTATGTAAATAAAATAAATAATTGACTTTCGTTGAACTAATCAACTTTAGTCATCATAAAAGTGAAAGATAGCAAACGTATAACTTTAGTTACATAGTTTGCATTAAAATAAAAATGAAATAAAATAGAGTAAAAATGTAAAATAAAATAATCCTAGATAAATTAATTACTAAAGAAGACTACTCAGTCATAGACTGTTGAGTCTTTAAAACAACCGATAGCGGACAATAGTATTTTACTATTTAATGTCCTAGTCGGTTAAATTCTATCCTAACTAAATAAATCAAAAATAAAATAAATTCCTAAATAAAATAAATAAATAAATAAAAATAAAAGATAGACAAAATAAAAGTTAAAATAAAATCCTAAAAAAAAAATCTGAGAGTTCCGTAAAACGGACCTACCAAATCAAAATAAGCAGAAGAGTGACTAAAAATTCTCAGCGTCTAACTTTTATATGACTCTATGACAGAAAATAACGGAAAATGCTGGAAAATAACGGATATTAACAGAATTATTAATTATGAAATTTCATTGGATTATCAATTAATGATCAATTATATCGAACAATCTGATTGGTCAATTGTAAAACATCACGATCTTTCACGTGAACAAGTGTCACCAAATATTCTATACAAGTATGAAATAATGAATTTTTACATATTTATCAATTAAATAAAAATATATTTCACAATAAATAATTAAAACAAAACAAATTAAACTTAAAACAATATTCAGTCTATCTAAAAATACAGTCATTTATAAGATACCGCCATTCAAACTCGATATATTTATCGGTTATATTACAAATGCAAGGATAAATTTATCAATTACTTTAACAAGTTTCTAAACCGGAAGTACATCGTAATGAAGAGCGAAACTGTCAAACAATGTGACAACAGAAATTTAGACTATTTCACAGGTATTATATCAACTAAATAACACTAAACAAACAACAATTACTTACTATTTGACACAGTTATAGTCTTAGGATGTATACTTAAGTGCTGATTTACAAATGACATACTTTATTAATCTTTTACCAAACTCTAACTCAGTTCGAATTATCTCAGTCATGTTTATGTTATCAAAATATATCAATCTACCCTTGTTTCACAAGTATATACATTTACAATTAAGTGACTTAGGTACAACTCTGCGAATAGAACATTCATATAAAACAAAATAAAACTGTGAATAAACAAACTTCATCAACCCGCTCCAAATCACCACAATGCATGATAACATATTACAGTCATTGACCCTATTTGATAGAAAAATCAACCCGCTCCAAGCTCACACACATATAGCAAAATATTACAGTCATTGACTCAGAATGATTAAACACTGTTGTGGATAAAATAAAAAAGTTACACCATGTAACCTAACATTACTATTATTACATCATTTAAAAAAGGGGGGGGGGTCACATGCACTACAGCCCTGTTAACTAAATTTGTATTGTTTGTAGATATTTTTATGTCGATCACAGTTCATTCTCTTCACTGTTTCAGTACTTGATGACAACAACTAAAAAAAAACTACAAAATAACAATTACTACATGTACTCAGTAGTAGTTGTAAAATTGATAGCCACTCTAAGCTACACATTTACAGACTTGTTTTTCCAATACTTTCTGTCAGTAAATGTAATTAATGTCATTCTGCCTTCCTTTAAGGAAGCTCTAAAAAAACTCATGAAAACTGTTTTTATACTTAGATTTATCTAGTTCATTTTACATTGGGTACCTAGCATAATTTTTAAGACAATTGAGTAAGATTTCCGTTTATTCTGTATTGCATCAGAGAGCAGATCACTCTAACTGCATAAAACTACCATGAAATTAAACACTTCAGCGAGCAGTGTTTAGAGCTTCCTTAAATTCATGTACAGCATTGCAGTCGAGTCTAATTTCAGATCTTTAAGATCTGTGCGTCTGATCATACTTTGGCCATCACTCGTGTCATCAGATATCGCAAAGTATTTCCAGTTTTCACATCCATTACCACCATTCAAGAAGTACATGCCATGCATGCCACAATCCTTGCTCCATAACTTCTCATGCAGAATAGTTTCCTGCCTAGTGTGAGAGGACATAAAATTGGTATTTCCCAAATATCCATTCTATATCTTTTTTGCATAAGGAAATAAAACAATTAAAAAGTGTAAGTCAAATTACTCAAACGATATTTTAAGGCGTAAGAGGCATTCAAATAAACATACAAATAAATGTATAGATTACTCAAATTTTATTAAATTTCCAATTAATCAGTGTCAATGGAAATAATATCTTCCTTTTGATAAACAATATATCAACAAAATAACAAATTCAAATTCAAGGTTCCTTCCACCTCTTTGTCAGGTGGATCCGATATCTGATTGTAATATTAAGTCACAGATATCACAATTGTATAAACACTTCTATTTTGAGCATGGTTGAAAATAATGAATATTAATTAATGATCAAGGAAGAAGTACCAAGGAGTGACATTGATTCTGCAACTAGTGGTCCTCAGATAGAAAAAGGAAAAGTACCTCAAACTGGAAATAAACATTTCCAAAACCTTAACCCCAATAAAATTTATCGTTTTTATTGAAATTCCTGTGTAAGGAGGTATAATGTATTATGTCTGAAATGCATGCAACATTTTCGTCATTGATTTGAAGATATATATTTTTCCCACCTTTTAACTATATATCGATTAGTCTCTAAATTTCATTATAAACGTGTGTTTCTATATTGTTATACTTTACACATATATCAAACATATACACATTACATTTCAAGGATCACAATTCTCCTCAGTTATTGGTTCAAATGCAAATAAACGCCCTCCGTCTGAAAAACAGTTTATGTTAACTTGCGGTGGTTTATTTCCACGTGCCACAAACGTTTGAAACAGGAAGAATGGCCCCAGTGCTTGACGTTCTTGCATTGTTATCTTCTTCGTCTCGTTGTTAAACTTCATGAACATATCTAAAATATGCCAGTTGTTTATTGTATTTAACAAATATATTTATGATTTGATACAATAGCTTGAATACTTACTTACTGAAAGCTGAACAGAAATGGTGAAATAATCCGAGAACAATTCAACCTATGAAAGTTTTAGTAAGCTTGCATTGTCAAAGAACATAGATTGTTAAGGTTCAAGTGTTTTTTATTGCTTCTAACAATGTAAAAATATTTCTGCTGTGACAAATTCTATTTGTTTAGGGAAAAAAAATAAAATCATCAAAACATGTAAGTACTTACTTTCATAAAGAAGTGACTCAAATACGTCATCGTCATCCTCTACCTCATACATAATAAGGAACCGTTCGTCTGGTGCCATAGAACTGTATGACACGTGTGGCTGGGAAAGGAAAAACACAATGTGCATGTAACTTAGCAATCACATCATTATGAATCAATGGAAATTGAGGAGTGGACGCGCATTTTATATCATAAGTTATCGAAAAAATAATAATTTAGCCTAATGATTTTTTAAAACAGTTGATATTATAAGTAATAGGTATTTATTGTCTATTAATGTGTAAATGCATTTTACCTTTAGAACAACAGTAGAGGCAGATTCGGTAATAATTGACGAAATATCGAAGTATTTTCCATTTTCTTTGTATTTTGCTACATATCCAAACCTCTGGTCAGACGTCCCATCATTGTTTGTCACCATGCACTCAAAAAACCGAATCATGAAGCGAACTGGGAAAAAAGAGTTTTTTTGTTTAAAACTTGATCAAATTCCAGTATATATGCAAAAATAATATACCGGTAATTATAATATGTTTGAGAATATTCCCGTTAAAGCCTTTTTTTACTATTTCGTGATTACATATACATTTGATTGAAAGAAGTTCAAAAAAAATACTGAGTTACATCGACTTTGTTGTGGCTTCTGAGAAATCGGTTCGCCATACAGCGCCATATCTTCCACATGGGCTGACACGTATATTCCAGTTTTACAAGCAATCCGTAAGTGAAATGGTCGGAACTTTGAGGATGTCCAGCGAAGATTTTTCACCCTTCGTGGAATTTTACCACCAAGTGATAATGAAGATAGCTCTTTGTACAGTTCCTCAGGCTGAATGGAATAAAATACTATGGTAATCTCACATATCTGTAGACCATTTTCACCGAATAACCATCTCCAGACTTTCTACAACAGAATGAAGAAATTTATTGAATAATCATTTAGATATATTTAGTATTTTGTTCTTTTGATTTGAAATGAGATAATTTCACCGTAAAAATGCAAAGTGTAGCGCTGGTCCATGTAACCATGTGTGGTCTTACTAACTACATACCAGTTGAATCTTTGGACATCTTTGGAGTTGTTCCCACATGATTTCAACGTCTGTTAATGATTTGTTTTTCGTATTTTCCTCATTTATTGCAACCAATCTGTCATTAATTCTATAAATACGGTTCCATAAAGTCATTTCTCATTTTTAGATCAATATCCATGTTTCATGAATTATCAAGTGTTAGTATCTGCTCTATTTATATTCAATAATATATAACTATTCAATATTTATCTTATAAGGAGAAAGGAACAAAAAGAAGATTCTTTTAAGGAACTAATAACTACCTTAATTCTTTTTCGGCGACGTCCTGTACATCTTTCACAACGTGATACACATCCTCCCGGTCCATTGGGTTATAGGCAGATTCCAAACGAAACAAATAATTTCTGCTCCAAAAACTCCGGAGCCGTCCAGAATGTGATCTTCGTACACGTAATGTCTCTGCTTCTCTCTCTTCTGCATCACTGCTCGAGCTACTGGAGCTCTGTTTAAAAAAAATTACTTTATAGTCATTGCTTTCCGATGTTTAAGCTATGTAGTCAAAAATAATTAAATACCAATAAAATATATTTTAGTCAATCATCATTACTACATGTAAAAGAAAATGCAAATCGCTTAAGAAGAAACACTTTTGAAATTCTGAATATTTTCTGAAGATATCAACATATCAATATTTTCATCTGAAAAGTTATTCTTGTTCAAATTTTCTGATATACAAATAGACGTTCAATACAAATAAAGTAAATCTAGGTGAAATCGTATATTTGTCATTAAAATATGCATATCAGACACTCATAATGTTGATAAAAATCTTATTGAATAATCATAAGATATGACAACAATAATAATAATCAAGCTCAAAAGCCCATTGAAATAATATATCAACAGCAGAGCAAACAAGAACCTCTAAAACATCAGAGGTGGGATCAGGTGCCATGGAGGAGTAAGCATCGGTCACATCCGCCGTATGCTTCTTGTCATGATCAATAATAATAGTGTAACAATGATACATGACAAACGTCAGTAAACATTCGATTTAAAATATAGATTATATTTGCTAATAAAGTCATTGTATCGACAAAATGCTGACTTTCAACGAGACTGTTGATATCTTTGCTTGCTTCATCAACTTATTTGTCACCGTTCACGATAGCTCAGTAGGTAGAGCGCTCTCTCAGTGATCGGGAGGTCATGAGTTCGAATCTCGGCCGCGACTGACCTAAGTTGATAAATGATGTGTAGCAACTGTTCCTTCGCCATGCGCTCGGCACTTTGAAGTGAAAGTTGCGGGTCCTTCGGATGAGACCTTAAAAACCGAGGCCCCGTGTCACGGCAGGCGTTGGCACGATAAAGATCCCTCACTGCTCAATGGCCCTGAGTGCCGGGTAAAGGTCAAAATTTGAAGCCCTTCACCGGTATATGGTGACGTCTCTATATGAGTGAAAAATTCTCGAATGGAATGTAAAACACCATACAATCAATCAATCAATCAACTTATTTGTCAATAACGTGCCTCCTTTCAGAAATTATTGCTCTTGAGTATCGAGTCAACTGTGAGACATAAACTCTATAATTTTGAAGTAGATAATGGTATATTGCAAGACAAATAATGGAAGTTGACGATGAAAAAGTTGAAGTCATCACATGTTTCATCAATTTTAGTTGCTATATCTCCAAATGCAATATAGCCATTGTCAATCAGAAACTCGAGCATTTTTTTAAAATATGAATTTCGGAGTACTGATGTGTAGAACCAGATTTTTTTTTAACAAAAATTACATATGTCCAGTGATAAGGTGCATTTATGTGATGACCATTTTCCACATTTAATTTAAAAGTAACTGATTCCAACAAATGAAGTGTATAAGTAAATATTTTATTTTTGGGCCATTTGAACCTACATGTAATTGTTATTCTTTCACATATCTAAAACTTGCATGTCACTAAGCAGAACAGTAATTTCAGGTATTTCCTAAAATTCAGGATATACACGAAATTCCTAATTACACATATTTACTGTTAACATACGAAGGTTGTCCCAGAAATACGCGAACATTGTCAATATCTTTTGTTTCACTAATACTAGAAAGGTAAAAATTGGCATACATCATGATCAACATTTTTTGAATAATGCATAAAAATTTCAATGAAATATCTCTATAAAAAACATTTCCCTCTCAGGTAAACGAATCTTATAAATCAGTTAACGGTGCAATGACGTCAAAACGTGGCGTTTGTGAATTTGTTCTGGACATGTGCTTCTGATCAAATTCGTTTAAGCATTAACTCGGCACTGTATTTAATTTTCTTCTATTTACCAAGTTATACATCTCAAATACTAGTGTTACCAAAAGATTGCGGAATTAATTCTTTTCATAGGCAATTTCTCAATTCCGATAATAAATCTTACAGTTCGCATTGTTTAACGGCGGCTTTCACTTAGGCCGGACTATGACGTCCAGCTCTCGACTTTCAGTTTGTCTTCATTTTTGTTGGTCTACAAAACGCCTCTTCTATCGGATAATCAGTCAAGCCACCCTCAAACCTCTTGTACTAGGGATAAACCTGTGTCCCAGATTTATGTTTCTGCTTTTCCATCGTTAACATCTCTGTTATCGTATGGACATGCAGGAGTCATATCCCGCTCAACACAGTACAGTTTAATAATCTGGTGCTCCACATTATCGCCAAACATCACCATTTTTGACAATATCTATTAAAAGTGTTTTGGCATATAACGTCATATACATGTAGTTGTCATGAATGAGGTCAAATTAATGAATTCTTATACATGAGTACACCAGATCAAAGAGTATTTATGGAGGTAAATTTTGTGACATTATATTTCTGTATAGCCTGGTAATAAAGAAAACTTCATTGACAATGCTACTTTTAAAAGTCAAAAAATTGTCGTGCGCCGACCACCGATATTCAATACCCTTCAAGTGCTGTTTTTATATACTTATGACATCACAAGCCTAATATATTTTGTCGAAATACCTAAAATATCATTTTCCAACAACGTGCAAAAAAATATTAATTTTGGTCGAATAGTTTCTGAAATATTCAAAAAGTTCCGAGTTTTTCTGTGACAATCCTCGTATATATATACTTTTTGAGAAATCGTGAAAATTCAACATCGTGAAATTAAAATGACTTACAGTATATATGGTGGGTAGTCCTTTCACGACTGTGATTTATGGCATTGATAATTAATTTAAAAAGCTTGGTAAAATGAACTATTCAAAAGTCGTTTTAAAATGAAATTTGCAGTCCAATATTTCAAAAGGTAAACTTATTATTACATTGGACTTGATCAGTACCATTTTATTATCGTTTATAATTAAGATATAAAGTGAAAATATTACCGAATCTTCCTTTGAAAATGAAGGGAAGCAACTGAAGAGACCACCATCCACTTCATCTGTTGCACCGTCTTTGTTTTTATCGCCTGGGATACCGAATGATCTTTCCCCTCTAGTCAGCACCTCTTCTGGTGAAGGAGTGGTCATATACAAGAAAAAGTCATCAAACACCGGCGATAGGCCACCCTCCACCTTACATGTCCACGATGAAGATTTTATGTCCACCATGATTTAAAGTTCGATTTATCATTCAAAGTCTATTCTACCGAGTTCCCTATAATAAGATTAAAGGGAAATTTTAGGCTGTACATTTCAATCCTTTTATCCCCCCACACAAAACTTAGGTAGAGGATTCGGATAGAGAGAATTTTTATTTTTAAAATTTTCTTCCGCGTTTAGCAAAAACGCCTCCTTGAATAATATGCACGTGGATAAATATAATCATTTAGAATCTATTTCCTCATAACAGGGTATTAATTAAATGTTAACCTTTTGTCACAGTAAAACACTGAGAACGAATCGAACATTCGTAAAAACAAACCAAAAATCACAGGACTTGTAAACAAGCATTATATATGATTCAATATGGACACTAAAACTGTTCAAACATCACAGTTTATCGTTTTTACATTTGAGATTACATACAAGATTTCAGAGATTGTCAGTTGCTAAACTCAAATCAAAGATTATAATTTTTCCTGTCCAGGTAGATGATATTTCAAATTTCTCGTGCTTATCATACAGATTTCGTTCACAAGGTTGATCAATTTATACTATACGGCATTTGTTGGATAACATGTACTGGACAATTTTACTTCGGAATTTCTAAATTTAAAGAAAAAAAATTAGGAAAAAAATAAAATATTTAATTGAATTGATTAGCCTATTTAATTGTTGTAAAGGACTTTGAAATCACAATTATAAATAAACAGGATAGAAATTTGTACTGGGAAATAGAAAAGCGATAATTTTGAAGAAAAGTAAGAAAAACTGTTGTAATTGTTTCTACCAGCACCGATCCCTTTTTCGAGGCCGGAAGCATTTCACTTCCTCCTATCAGTAAAGTGTTTGAGAAAAAATCATTTTCTTAAATAATAAATTTCCGGTACTAAGGAGAAGTGATTGTTGGATTTCCGTATAAATGTATTAAATAATGTTGAATACATAATTAATCATCTTAGCGTAAATACAACTTTGTTATAACTATCGGGTTTTACATTTTACGTGTTTCGCATACAGTTTTTAGAAATCGTCTACTTACAATTCCAAATGCTAATCATTGTCAAACGAAATGCAAAATAAGCTTTTTTATAAAATAAATAACATTTCCTTACATATTTCTTAATTATAGATCTTTATCTTCACGAATGGCACTCTAAAATCAAGGTCACAATGTCTGAAAATCCAGTAAATTATTAAAGATCTATTAACAAACTAAATATTAATTAAACAATAAGATGCTTACCTAGGTTGGAAGTATTCGAATTCATATGTTGCAGCTGTTGTAAAAAATATACAAGAGCTGCAATGTTAATTCCATTACTTACAAAGACATTTTATTGTTTATATTTATGTCTGTATTAATAATCATATAAGCTAGGATTAAGTAAGTTAAATATTGTAAAATTGATACGTACGTTTTTGTATTTCATTGATAGAAGAGCCACTGTTCAGAAAATCTATACAGATGGCTTGCTTATTAATTAGCGGTGTTAAAGTATTGATAAACGCCTGTAGTTTTCTTAAGAAATAAAAGAGATGATATTCAGTGTATGTAAATATGTTCTAATAATTTACCATTAAAAACAGATGGGGCAAACTTGAATGAATTTGTAAGTTGTCAGGGTCTAGTTCAAGGTCACAGAATCAATAAGCCTAGTAATTAAACAGAATATTAAAACCACATGGTTTTTTTTTTTTAAAATCAATTACTTTCATATTTTTCAAAAGATCTAGAATAAGTAGTCGCACGACTTAATACATCAATCATACCCCTTTACGGGTAAAAACAGGCAAAGTATATTATCATTATGAATTATTTAATGAAAAGATTCAAGTTCAAGATTACGATCTCTTCAAACCTGGTGTATTACAAAAGCCAGTATACCAAGGAATACATAAGCAAAATATCACATTCCTACCTCCTGTAATTAAAAAAAAAAAAGACTTTCACAGACGGTCAAACGGACAGGTGAAGGACAAAATGATCGCTTTACCCAGTCGACACAGTCAGTGAGTTTATGTGCTTTAGATCAAGGTGTTTCGGTATGAACATTAATATTGTAACTTCAATTTCAAAGGTCAAAGAGAACTAAATACTAAATTCATTGAAAATAATAGTTAAGCACTTTAACAATAAGTATAATATTCTTCAATATGAACCTTGATACATCAACCAAAACTTAAAAGTTCGATCGCAATTAATCGCAATCAATTGATATTTATTGACAAACATGTACATGTATGAAATATTTAAATATGGAAACCTCGGTTGTTGTTTATTAATATAGTGTTCAAGTATGTATGTTATAGTTAATAAGTATGCTCATAAGTGGTTGGAGTATAATATTTTTTACATGAAAGAGGGATTCGTCTTGTTTTAACACGTTTATATCAATTGGATTCCATCTGTAATAAAGGCCTCAAAGTTGGAAAAATTAAGAATAGATGAAATTGAAATTGGTATTGGTCATTCAGAATGTTGCTATTCTGAAACGCAAAAGAAACGCAACAAGCAGTAATATACAAATATTTGAATTTTTTATCTAATGATTTTCAAAAATGAATACAATAAGCTAAAACTCGATTTAAAAACATCAGAGATTTGATAAAAATGTCAAATGATTATTTTTTAACTTTAGAAAGTAACACATGACTGTTAAAACACACCCACCGGGGGCCATTCAACTACAGCGTGCAAGACTGCCATGCACAACAATTGCAGCTTGATTTCTACGATGCAGTAGGTTCATCAATCTCGAGATCAGAGCGAAAGAAATATTCTTTGCCATTTTTAAATGCCCGTTTTTCAGATGATAAGGTCGAATTTTCTCTAGCCTAGCGCAGTGTAGTAACCCTTGGACTTCCGGTCCCAGGATTGTCATTCATGCTATTGATACGTAATTAAGAGCCTCTTGAGGCGTGATGTAGTGCATATTTGCATCTGCAACTCTCCATCACCTTTATTTTGAGATTTTCCAGCTAGAGCAATGGAAATGCATACTTAAGTCATATAAAGGAAGCCTTTGCATCGCTTACGGAAAAGAAAGGAGAATTTATTTTTCGGAATATTGCTGCATAACTTATGATGAACAGATACAAACCCTTAAAACTCCATATTATTGCCAAATGTTTCGTTAAACATGCAATTTTTGATTTTTGTTAAGCGGACTCAAACTTAACTTCCGGTAAATGATATGAAAATCATTCAACCGTTAACGTAGGTCGCGGGTTTGCAGGCCATTTAAAAGTGTCCGAAAACATACCATGAAAATTAGTTATATGAATCCTCTACCTTGGTTTTATATTCTCTGAAATTTTTATAAAATTCGTCTGCATCGTTTTTGTGTAATTAAATCCCAAACATGCCATTGTTGTCGTTACATTTTCGACGTTATTCTATTGAATTATATAAGAAAAACGTCGTTTTCGGCTCGTTTTGAGGCAAGATTTTGTTTCAAAAAATATCAATAACTTTTAAATGGTGCAGACGAAATTGTTTTCCCTTTGGTATTTTAACAAAGAATTGATTTGAAATAAATCAAAGTGAAAAAATTAATATGTCTTCGGGTTAGTTTTCGCGTAATTTAAATGTGGACAATTGCTTTTATATCGCAAAATGTAACATTTTTTAGAACGACGCCATAAAATATCGCGACGTCATGCTTGACGTCGTGAATATCTATCCGGTATTCAGTGCAGAAATATGAGCTAAAATAATTTTTATAAAAAAGAAATTCACGTCCATCTGCTTTCAAGTGGCCCGTGAATCGTATCATAATAATTTAATATCAATGAAATGATTATTAGATATGTTTCTCATCAGATTAGGTTTTTTGTACGTCTTATATTAGTGAAAATTCTCGCAAGGGAGGTAAAACAACAATCAATCCTTTAGTTTATTTCTTCCAATTTACTTTCTTTATGTGTTGTTTTCTTACCGTTTCTTTTCTCTTTGTTTTGTTTTGCTTTTTTTCGTTGATTAGATGTATTCTTACATTTGGCTGTATATTTTTCTTTTCAAGCGTGCTGGCGGAAAACGGTATCCTTTAATTCAAGTATATAAAATGTTTTTATTTAGACCATTCAGCAAGGCGCTCTCTCAAATCTACGAATTTCTGCCAAATATCGTCCCGGCTAAGTACAATATATTTTCAGTATATATTTAAACAAAATATTTATTTTTACATACCACATTTTCAGAGGGGAAAATGGGACGAGGGTTTAAAAATTAATTTTATCTGACGTAATCAACAGCCAGGTTTTTTTTAGAACATTAATTCTATTTGTTGGACATGGAAAGCAAAGTAGCGAATAAACTATGTAGGAAACAGCATTGCAAGCTGTTGCTTAGGGGACGATCATTTCATTGGGGGGGAGGGGGGGTTTACAGATTTTGGTAATAAATAATCTGTCCTCGAAAATGTTGAAAATAAATAATCTGTCTTCGACTGGGCAAGAAAATCAATAATTTGTCCAAGACTAGTTCTAGCACCCCCCCCACCCCCCCCCCACCCCCCGGGAGTTTTCAACTTTGATGTGCTCTTTTCTTTTCTTTTTTTTATGCTCGTCAGACTTTTTTCAGTGAAGAAGAAATAAATAATCTGCCCTTGTTTTTTTGGAAATAAATAATCTGTCCTTCATCGACATGAAAATAAACAATCTGACTCGGTAAAATTTGCCACCCCCTCCTCCTCTCCCTCAGAATCAAATAGTTGTCCCCTAACAGGAAGTCAGTGCTGCTAAAAAATTGTCTTAATGTTTCATCGTACCTTAGCAGTATTTAATTTATGATAAACTTGTACATCTATATATTTTAAAAAATATCCTGTTTAAAAGTAAAATTTAATCTTTTGATGTAACAGGTGTATTTGTGATTTTTTTAATAATGGCTTCTTTCTTAATAAAACAAAACTGATAATTCAAATACGATCAAAGGAAAAAAGGTCAGTTGAACCTTGTGTCCATATCGTTTCGCGATACCAAGTGAGAACAAATCAATCGCAATTTCTCGGGCCTTTCCGACAAGCCGAAAAAACAACCACTTGTTTTTCCTAGTTTGCAG